AACAAACCCTTCTACATCTTAATTATGGAGGGAAAAAGAGGTTCTTGAGAAACTTACAAGAACAACTGTTCCAAACTACGGGAGTGTAGATTTCATCATACATACTGGTGCCATTTTTATGTTATAATTCTAGAAGCAAACTCATGTCCTGAATGAAAGAAGTGATTCATTGAGGTCTTACAATAAATATTTGAACCTATTGTCTTAATAACCAGTGCACTGAACTTGCCACATATGTACTTTGAGAAAAAAAATCATGAAACTATGAGTGAATTTCATTCCTTCAAGTTTGGATGGTGTTAGTCCAAAAATTACCTTGTCATGGTATCTATAAGTCTGATTCTTCTTTTGTCAGCAAATATTTTCTCTGCCTACAAAATCAATTGCAATGAATAATTTTTATCAAACATCAAAGGCAAAATAGACCCATTGGTATAATTGACAAAGAACTAATTAAAGTTGAACATGAATCTTTGAATCTTTCTAAGAATTAATGGCTCAGTTTGCTGCAACATCTACATATAGCAAAAACCAATTCAAAGAATTTTTTTCCCATATTTCTGTTTCATATCAACGGTAGTTATTTTATTTTTGCTACTTATATGTGCACTTTAAAATGTCATTTAAATTCATATTGAAAATTTGTGATCAACAACATTTTTCTAAACATTTGTAATTAATTAAGAGATTTCCTAATAAATTATCAATTAATTAATAAGATCAAACACTTTGCCATGAGACAAGTCAACATGACAGATAAAAACGATCGATTCCTACTCAAGCACACAGCTATCACAGGTGCTGCGGAATAGTTTAAATCACTTGTTAACTTTACCTGCTCCAGTCTTTGATAACATTACCTGTTCAGCTGAACCATTAAAGGAATGACAAACCTTCAGATTTTTAACATCAATATGCCACTGTGTTATTCCAAGAACCAACTTCTTTCTCTTCCTTCTGAAAGATTGGTGATGAAAATCACAAAATTCATTAAACATTGACAAAAAATTAAGTTTTCTGGTGGCCATAGCTAATGTACCATTCCAACACTTCAGTAAAGTGATCAGGGCAAAGATGTGTATATACTTTTAAAGTTTTATCTATATCATGTCTATACATGCAGGTTTCAGCATATTCAGTTGGATAGAATTATAATATGTTTAAGAGACAGGTAAACTTGATCATATTAGGTGACACAAAACATGTCCTAGCTGCCATTCACTTATCTGGAAAAGCAACAAGTTTTTTTTTATTTGGTTAACTTTATATGTATACCCGGCAGTCCAGCATATGAAGTAGCAATCACCTCAAATTAGGAAACTATAAAAAGATTTACAAGGTATTTTTCATAAATTCGATCATCAACTTTAAAATCAGCTAGAACAAGGAGTGGGAATGGGGGACTATAGGAATTGTTTATCTGAGGACCTACTAATACAAAATGGAAGAATAAAACAATAATAATGAATATTTATAAATTAGCATTCACTATTGATGTTTCCATTAAAATACATGTATACTAGAAAAATGCAAAAAATATTTTTATTAAAAAAATTCTCAAGTAATAAGTATTACTTATGGTGCAGCTATACTTTTGGACAATATTGTTTAACAATATATTGTTAATACAGTAAAACTCGGTTAAAGCGAAGTCCTTGGGACCTGTGAATTTAATTCGTTATATCCGTAATTTGTTATATCCGTATAACGAATTAGTAGAACCATTATAGCGAATTCGCAATATGCATGTTTTCCTTCAAGTATTACTACCAAATATGTTAGGGAACTAGGGAAGCAAATATTACAAAAAATATCTTTGATAACTAAGGTTTTATTATGAACTGATTTTTAACTGAATGCTAAAAGGAAATAAAGTCTGTTCAACATATCAATTTTTTTCATAATCTTTAGAAGCTCGTTATAAAAGATGTAAATTTTATTATATTTAACCTCAACAGGAAAATCAGTTCCCTATATCTGTAAATTCGTTATATCAAAGTTCGTTATAACCGTAAAATTTTACAAAGATTTGTTAAGAATTTTGCAGGGGAACCAGAAAAACTTCGCTATATCCGTGAATTCGCTGTATCCGTGTTCGTACTAAACGAGTTTTACTGTATTTGGAAAATACATTTGTATTGTTTAACAAAACTTGAAATTAACTATCAAATACTTGTCATCAAAAAATATTTTGCCTTTAATTTACACTGTACCATTAAAGAATGGGAAAAAAACTCATTTCAGCCTTGACACTGATCAAACAAAGTTTTCAAGATTTAATTTTTATTAAATTTTATTTTTGACTTTAATTTACACTTGTAATTAACTTGGTTCTTCTGATTTCTATATTTCTTCTCCTCAAAGTAAATTGTAAAATAGTTAAAAATATTACCAGTAAGTCATCTTAGCTATAGCCAAGGGTTTTCTGTCCATTCTCCCCATTTATGAGTGGACCGAAAACTCTTGGCTAGCTAAGATGCCAGTAACTTTGCAAAAGTACATGTAGCCTAGTTTGTTGATGTACATATATGTACTAATGTACATAGGAGAGGGACAAAGCTTACAGCCTAATATAGGAATTTTATCTATGTTTATATATTTTTAGCCTAGCATGCAATTTCTTAAAAATGCTTATAAGCCTGTAGGATTCTACAGGAGAGTCCATACCCTATATTTCTCTTCACTGCTGAAACAGCTCTGCCACAAATACTCGGACACACCCATTAACCAGTTAATACGAGTAAGAACGGCAAAAAATACGGTACGTATGCCATTTTAGTAATGTGTAATGCAATATTATGCGACTGATCTTTGCAAAAAAGGTATTGGAAAATCCTTGTGACTAAATTGTCTTTTGAGTTGAAAAAACATCAGGGGCATCGTCATGTGTTAAAATACATGTAATATATGATCTATAGTCTAGATATGAATATCTGACATAGCCCAACATGCCAAAGTCAATGATCCCTTCTTAGGACCATAGAAATCTTACAAAATGAACTTTTCTGTGGAGGCTTTAGTCGTGCACGTGCCAATCAAAATATGGCGCCAAATAAGTATGCGACGAGCTCTCTAGTTCGAGGAGGCGTAATTGGTTGCCATCTGTTTTGTTTCCTCGTTCAGCTTCAGAGATTTTGTAAGTTGAATTACAAGTTTTAATGTCCTTTTCTGTTACTTTTGCTTTCTTGCTTCATTGGTTTTGCACTTGATCAAACTGATTGATATTTTATTTTAAAAGATTGTTTGTTTTAGAATCTTTATGGATCAGGAACGATTTTAATGAATAGATAGCAAGTGCTTGTTGTCAGAGGAAATTCGACATTTAGATGCATTGCATACAAATGTTGTTGGAAGTGAAATGCAAACATGACAAATGCAAAAAGTACTTATAAACAATTGAAGTGAATAAAATGATTGAAATGTGCGTTGATGACGCTACAGTTTGAGCAGAAGTGTGAACTATGTCTAATATTACTGCAGTCTAGTTCCATGGCTATAGTTAGAATAATTTAACTGTATATTTGGGATAATGCTTCACTATACAGTTAGAGTATGTACCGTAAAATAGCAAATTAGCAAATCAATGTGAATTTACACTCTGAAACTATTTTTGACAGTACAAAACAAGGTGTATATCATCACTAAATGCCTTTTACTCTAATAAAAAGAAAACAACAACATATATACGGAGACATATAAAAGCTGGTTTTTATATGTCTCTGATATATAATAAAGACCAGCAGTATATGCTTTCTACTGTTAAAAAAACCCAACAACAACATAAAATAAAGACAAAAGAACTCAGTAGCTCAGTTGGAACTTGGAAGAGTGCACCTGTCTGGAGATTCAGTGGACCCAGGTTTGAATTCCCGTTAGGTCTGTTGCATTTTTCTCCTCTCCTACTACATTTGGTGCTATTCCCTGGAAGTGATAGGAGATAGGCATTTTAGGGAAGATCCTCGATTGGTTTCTTCTGGGACTGAAAACACCAACCTATACTTTTCTTTAAAGGAGAAAGGAATGTCAATGTCAGAGGGTTTTGATATCTTTTGTCCACTATAGCTCGGTACTATTCTAATGTAACAGGAAGAAGGAAAATGTATATGGCTGGACTGGGAATCGAACCTGGGACCCCTGCATCTCATGTCAAGTGCTCTACCAACTGAGCTACAGTGTATCCAGGCTAATATCCATGACCAAAATCATCACATTTCTCCCTTCTTAAATGGTCTTTGCCCTTGAAGACACAACCCAAGTTCTTATTATCCCCTGGCAGGACCTGAATTCCAGGGGTTGTTAATGGCACCAAATCTAGGAGGGGAGAAAATGTATATGGCTGGACCGAGAACTGAACCCGGAACTCCTGCATCTCCAGTCAGATGCTTTACCAACTGAGCTATTTAGGCCAATATCCACGGCCCAAACCATCACACAAGAATCAAGGGAAAACACCTCTCGTAAGAATTTTCTCAAGTTTCAAGACCCCCACCAGGACTTTTCCCTGGACCCGCTGGGGGCATCAATGCAGCCCCCAGAGCTCCCTACATTGCTAAATGCAATTTTATGATAATAAAGATATACACCAAAAGTAGAGATGCAAGGACCTCATAGTGATATAGATGTATATATTTTTCATGCCCTTATTCTTTTTTTTTTCACTTTCAGAGTCAAACTCTGTATAAATGAAGTGCACTATCTTTAATATAATTGTGTGTTGGTCACTTAAAAAGGCACTAAACAATTCTAGCAAGTAGCCTGAGAGTGTAGATCTAACTAGTAACTTACATGGATAATAACAATAAGGATGCATAATACATGTCTTAACCATGATTCAGATTCTACATGAGTCTTATTTTCTAATTGATAGTTTCCTTTTTGATTGATCAAGTGAGCAGTCAAGTACTTTTCACTTGCATCGATCTTTGCATAAAACTGAAAACACAAGCATTTGCGCTGAGGGTATGTTCATCATGCAATACATGTAGTACATTTTTACAACTTTATGAAGGTTCTGATGTTAAACTGTGCATATAGCTTCATTTAGAAGATGGTTAGTGTTCAATTTGGTAAGTTATCCCAGATATCATTCACTCTCTCTGAAAGAAAAAAAAATTGCATGAATATTATCATACTCTCACAAGCAAGCAATTAATATCAGCTAGTCTAGTACTTAGCCTAATTTGGTAAACTAGTTCTATTCATCTTTAACATGCACTGTATTCAAAAGTGCATTTTGTATTAGAAGGAAAATCTCATTTTATCAGAGGTATTCTGATACATGTACCAGGCTATAACCAGAAAAATCTTAATTTCTTGAGGCGCAGTTTCAGTTTTCAATTATCATGATATAAGGAGAAGAAGTAGGGTTTCTTCAACTTTATAGACACAGAATTATTATGACTTGTTAGGTAATTTACAGTTTTGTTTTTGCTTCTTAAATTGATTAATTGTTTATATTTGTGGACTTCGACAGTTTTGCCTTTTAGTCTGTAGATGAGGAAGGTATTAGGTTTCTCTTTTGATTAGATTTTCAGCCCGTTTTTTCCTGACAGGAAGTTTCCTGTGAGATTTCAAAACTGCTCGGTCTCTAAAGAGACCTTCAATTGTAGCCATTAAGTATTGATTTTATTTTTTCTCACAGAAGTTGATAGGATAGGTGTCATCTCTGAAACATACCCATTTAAAAGGCGTACAAAATTTCATAGAATTTACGAAAACGATACATTTGGCAGCATTAATTTAAAATATTTTTAGATAAATGTGTTACTGTTTCTTGGTAACGATTTTGTAAAACGTTTTGCAGATCTAACCATGGCGGAGCGAGAGGAAGACACGGAAGTAGAACGTAGGCCTCTAAAGCGGATGTCAACCATCGCGTATCGAGGATACAAGAGAGAACCAAGCAAAAGGTAATGAATATAGAATAACGCAGAATCATGATTATAACATGTTTTTATGTATACGTTCAGTTGGATATGTGTTCTGCATGTTATCAATACATTTTTTTCATGTTCAGGAAATGCATTACGCAAGCAAAAACTTTTTTTAAAAAAATAGGTGAATCATCAAGATTGAAAGTAAATTGTTTCTTAGCATCATGCAATATGACATAGCAAATTAATCCAGAGATATTCTATATATTTACAACATATGATTTCTTTTCTCCTTCATAGCATGTTTTTTAAGCATTTCTTTTTATATATATCAGTTTGAATGAGGTATGGGGTACAAAGGAAAATAAATTGTTTCTTAGCATCATACAATATGACATAGCAAATTAATCCAGAGATATTCTTTTTAAAAAAAAGGGGGGAGGGGTCAGGGGGGATCCAGGGGTCAAAGGCCCCATAAGCATTCAGGTTATAGAAATTTTTGCAATAGTAAACTTTGAATTATTTTAGCCTTGTTATGAGTAATAATTAGATTACAGTAGTACATGTAGTTGATGTTTTAATCTTCAATATTTAGGTCATGAAAGAATGGGGGCAGGCTCCCTGTTTTGATCAAGGTCATACTTAAAAGTGAAAGGTCAAGGGCATTTATTGGAGTTGATGGAATGGAATTAACTTGATTATAATTACTTGTATCTATATTGATCATATACTAAGTCTTCCCATGCATAGACAAATGAACAAATATTTGTCATAATTTTGACAAAGACGACTTCATTTGAGAACTTGCACACTTATTGTATAAACTAGTTTCCCATAAGCTTTTAGGTTATAGAAATTTTTGCAACAGTCAACATTGCTTATATTCAGATTTTTGATGAGATTTTGCTTTATATGATTGTCAATAATAAGTTGCAATGAATGAATCCATTTTATTTATTAGCATACTTGAAGAGGTTAAATACATGTCATTCTTCAAAAAATAGTTTCTGACACCAAAGCAGTTGTACACGGCAAGAGTCCATGTCCATAAATAATTCCAAATTTCTCTTGGTAATGTAATGAAGTCATGAAACATTATTATAAATTGTGTGATATTTGGCCGATCAGCTACCAATATAGTGCCTTTTAATCAAAAATCAAGACCCCCGGAACTCTTAAAAAGGGCAGGGAAGTAATCACAATAAAAATTCCAGTAATGGGTTCACAGATATTCTTCCCTTGTCATAAATGTTCCCAACATAATAATCTGTGTAATGGTTGCCATACATCTTATCAACACTTTGTATTTAATTAATAGGCAATCTTTATTGATCAGCTATAATATACAGATCGGGCGAATGTCAACTCTTGTCTTAAGATGGTTTGGACACATTAACAATACCATCTCTTTCATTGCGTGACATTTTCTCTAGTTCTGTTTGCCATAGTCTTAATTCACACATAATTATGGATTTGAGAGAGAAAAATTGCACAGAATTTAAGTCTGTACTACGTTTGAGAAGAAAATCATGCCCCCATGTGTTGCCGTGTAATTGCAGGGTCTTTGTCAACCGAAGTCTGATGCTGGAGAAAGTCCGCTTCTATGGATTTGACATGGACTACACACTAGCAAGTAAGTAACATATGGATATGGGGAGAAAATGCCAGGTTAGTCACCCTTATCCTTTTTTAGTATGCTATGAGTATTTTATCCTGGGAGGAGGATATACAGTAGAAGACTATAATAAGGAACATGTTAATAATGAATTTTGCTTATACAGTGTATATAGCAAAGTGAATTTCATTTCCCATGGCTGTAAAACATAATTGTGAACTTAAAGGATACATCCTAAATTACGTTTATAATGAAGTAAAATTGTCTGTCCCTGGAACTTCATTTTTAAGCTTGTTGTACTGTATATTTATTGTAATGTTATTGGTCTGTCTGTGTGGTTGTCTGTTTTGTCTGCTTTTACCTTGCATACCTATACTGAAATAAAAAGTCTGTAGATAAGCAGTTTTCATTTCATTTCAAAGCTTTACTTAATGACCATAGGCCAGATAAAGATATGTTGCCATAATAGTTTCCCACATCTTACCCCACATTTTCTTTATGTCATCATACTTTTTAGTTTACGTAGTAATGAGTATAATATACTAATTTCCTGAGACTATATAATAATGGGAATTCTTAGTGCAATGTTGATTGGAGTACATAGTAAATATAAGTATATTGATATGGATTATTTAAAATAATATTTTGTTGGTGAGATAAAAATCAATAACAACAAACAAACAAATAAACAAACAAAAAGACTTGGTTGAACATGTTGAAGAGATTCACAAAGATAAAATAGTACAGTGAGCTGATACTGAAGCAGTCATTAACAGAAAGTTCCTTGTCTTCAAGTATACTCTGCATAAATAATCTTAATTTTCATATTTGCACTGAAAGAAGATTAGAAGAAGTTTATATGTTATATAAACTGCAGATTTTTATGTGCATCATTTGAATATGGTAATCTGTGGACACAAATCATTTTCTTTAAAAAATCATTTCTTAATTGAAATAAATTGTCTTGCAAGAGTTTTTGTGGTAATTTTATATTAGCATTTAGTATCAAAACTGAGTGTTATTGTAAAAGTGTTTTTCTTTTTTTTTTTTTTTTTTGAATTTGTTAAATGTTTTTCCAATAATGACTGAAGTTAACATGTAGTAAACCAGTTTTCTTTTCATTCAAACAGGAATTCACCAGTATATTTTGATTCTTACTTTCAATAAAAGTGAACTAATTAGACTGAACTATAAGTTTATAAATAAACCTTGCTGTAGTGAAAATATCTTCTCCCTGTATTTTTGTATTGAACTACGATCATTTGATCAAACTTCTAGACTGACACAAGAAAAAACATGTTTTGTGTTAAAAATAGTGTTTTCGAAGGGAGATATATTTACGTTACATCTTGTAAAACGAGACCTTTGCTGCCATCGGACGATCTTGGTACCAGAGTGCTCCATCATCGCGCGAAACTGTTATTTTCCTACTGTTACCAACATCTGTTATAAAAGGACAGACTTGTCTTGTGTGTTGACGGTGTTCAGGTAATTTTTCAAAGTGACTGAAAAAAAAAGAAAAAAAATAAGGATTGGTATCAAAAGAAAGCAGTAACAAGGGAGATGAGATCATCGTGTTCATTTGAGCTGACAATGATCACGCACCACTGGCTTAAATCAAAAGGAGGATTGAATGGACACACGAATAGATATCGCTTAACCATGTTGGGCCGTATTCCTCTTTTGAAATAGTTTGTTTGTTACAATGTGAGGTGGGAGATGTAAAACAAAACTTTTAGGATTTTTTGTTGTCATAGTATTTTTTGGTGTCAGAAATCATTCTGATTTATCAGATATGAATATTTCCTAAAGAATCTTGTCATATTTTATGCTTTTCTTCTTGACTAGATGGTTTATCTTTTTTTGTGGTTGCATTATCTAATGGGTGCCACTTTTAGCAATTGTTACTGTTTTCTGATCTTTTATGCCAGTTAAATAAAAGAAAACAATGGCAAACATTTGACAGAGGTAAAGAAGTGGGATACAGTATGTATCAGTTCTGATTGTTTTAGATAATACAGAAGTTTTGGAAGCCACACTTTTACATAAATGTACTCTAACATGAAAGGCAGTGTTAAAAGTATTGTGTTACAGGTATTTCTTGTTTCATGTCTGAATGTATAGCGGTAATGAGTTGTCAAAATCTAAAGAATAATAGGGGGTGGGGTGGTACACATATTTAGAAAAATTTCTCCTGTATTTATTTCAAATGTATATTTCATCCCATAAGATTTATTACCCTCACAAATTAAGTATTTATGACTATTGTGTGTTTTTCATGTACACAGTTTGTTTGATAATAGAATAGATCTTCTAATTGTAATGATTTTGTTACTAGATATAAGCAATATTTTTATAACCATGTGTGGTGGTATATTCTCTGAACTTCAAAATTGTTTCTAAAGGGAATACCGTATAATCCCTATTTACCGCCCCTGCCCCTATAAGCGCCCCCTTAGGTCTTTTTTAATTTTCAGGAAATAAGGGCCCCCTGTACAGTGATTGAAATCATCTACAATCATATCAAAAGTCTGCCTAAATTTAAAGAAAGTGAAAATGAAACTTGTCTGTAATCCAATTTCTAGATGGAAAATCAATCATTTAGCTTAATTTTGATGGATTATCTTCAATTAAAATTTTTTCAAAGATTTTTTGGAAGTTAAAATATGACATTAAATATTAAAAATAGAATACTAAAATAATCGCCCCCCTTTTGCAATTTTCTAAGCGCCTGGGGCGGTAAATAGGGATTATACGGTACCCGCAGTAGTAACTCAGTATTGCATGATGACTTAAAAAAAATATATAAATTGCTCGGCTTAAAAATATCAGATTCTTGATTCATTAAAAGATATCTAGCTCATTGTAAAGCTATACAGAGATCGCAAACTGGTAGAATTCTGATGTTATTGTAACAGCTAGTTGACCTTTGTTGCTTTCTCTGAATTAAGGTTGACATTATCTATTTGTCTTCTTTACAATGGTAGCATGTGGTAGGATTTTTTTCCTCCATCTTTTAGTGCAGGGATGTGAAACTAGTAAAACTACACAAAAGGTTATTTACCTACATTGAAGTCTGGCCTATTTTTCTCCTACACTTCTCCCTGCATTAGCAGTGGAGTATTTGTCATTGGTGTCAATTAAATGTTTGGAAGCTTCCTAAAAAATTTGGCAGTAGACTTCATTGTCTGGGCATTTATGAATCAAGATTTCCGTGTAAAAAAAAGTGTGTGTTTATGTTCTGTTGTGTATTGAGAAATTAATTTTGTCATTAAGAGCTTTTTGAAAATTGATTCCTTAAAACAAGGAGAGGGACAAGAAGAATGTGAATTTCTTTAAAGAGGAAGCAAAAATATTTTAAGTTCTCAGGGGAAGGAAAATCCATAGTTATTTTAGGAATTTCAGTTTTTTTGTAATTATTTTCCATTATTAAATAATCCATGCAATTTTCTTGGTTTCTTCACATGAAGGACACTAGGTTCCTTTAAGATTCAGTTGATTTTTAAAATAGTGCTTCACATCACTTCATGACAATTGTGTTAGCCAGTGCTTTGCAGACTTTTGAGAAATTACTTTTATTTATGCATTGGAGGGAGTGCACATTATTAGTTTAAGAATTTGGAGAAAGCATTAATACTGGCTAACTTTCCTTTAGGCTTGTAATTATACTTCTCACTTGCTGGGAAAATTGTTTTGGTGGGGTGAAAATTGGACTGAATGACCATATGTACAGTGGTTATTTCCCTTTATAATCAACTTTTATTTTGATTACTGAATCAAGTCATTAGGAATCTTCCTTGAGGGTAAGGTTGGGTGTTTCCTGAAATTTTTCAATTCAATTTAATTCTTTGTAGGATCTTTGTGTTTGTAGCTTCCTTATTGTTTGGTGTACACTTACCACTATATTCCAGCTACTTGCACTATATAAGGCATCCTCCTGTACCGGTAGTTGCCCTATTTTCAGAGGTATTTTGTGGGTCATTTTCAGTATGAGTGAAGAAATAGCTTTTGCAAATCAGAGCTCCCTTAACTTGAGAGTAAAAAAATTCTTATTGTATATATAGTCAGCAAGATTTCAGCTGAAGAACTGACCAGACCTAAGATGGACCTATTTTCAAGTAATATATCTAATTTTCAAATTTATTTGAATATAACACCACAGACTTGTCTAAATGGGAGCTTTCTTCTTCTTGGTCAGTAAAATGATAAGACATATCTGTTGTGTAAATAAAGTTTACTACCTTATTACATTTTGACACAAAGGGGAACAAATGACTACCTAGAGCTGGGAAACATGTCATAATTTGTGGACCTTTTGTTAGCCCAGTTCTCTGATCTTCCTGAGCTTCAAAGATGAGATAGGGCTACTCTAATGCCTTGATTACTTTAAATTCACTGTGTAATCTGCGGAGATCTCTATTTATCAAGATAGCGTTAAAATCCCCATAATGTCCAGTCCTCTTTATTTGTCAGTAATCAACAAAAAGTCAGGCCTGTGTCTAAATGGGAGGGACTTAAGTAGGTCAAGTGGGCCAACGAGGGTAGAAGAGGAGTACCCAGTGATTAGTCGGTGAATTGTCCAGGCCCAGGTGTGCTTCTTTCTCAGGAAGGAGCAATTTAGAATGTTCCTCCATTTAAGTGTCAGTTGTAAAGAGGAAATTTTGCTGTAGAAATATTAAAAAATTTGTTAACATATTTTATGTGTATTACGTATCTGTTAAGGAAAGGATTTTTTCCCTGCTTGTATTAAAAAAAAAAAAGAAATTGTTGAAAAGCATTTCAGTTTAATTCCTGCTTGGAGAGATATACAATGTATTAAAAAAAACTATTTCGCAGAATAAGTGTCACACATTGAGTGTTATGATTCTTTTTGCGGTTATATATATAGTCATTAATAAATATTTTTAAATGAATATGGAAAACCAACTATAAAGATTTATGAGATGTACACTGACCCCCCTTACAATTTTATGAATATAGATTTTACTACACATTAATTATACAGTTTCGAAATGGTAATGCATTCAGATCAGGAAAAACGGCTATAAATTGAAAGTGGAGAATTAAAAATCAGAGATGCTTCATTTTTATCGCAGGTCAAGAGAACATCCGCTGGGTTGTATTTCAATGCATTAAGTCTTAAATTAATGTAATTTAAGAAAGATTCATAAAAAAATATCTTGAAGATTGATTTTTTTGCTGCCCCCATCAAGATAGAGTATCTTTCTATATTAACTTTTCAGTTGAATGGTTGCACTTTCTTAAGTATGATCTGATATTTTTTTCAAGTTGCCAGGGACATATGAGGGGTGTAAATTTTCTGCATAGATTACATTTCAAAACTAATATAAACTTTTTTAAACCTTCTAAAGAAATATATCCTTCATTGCAGAAATTAATCTTTCCATTAAACTTTGCTGCTTCTTTATTCCTATTATTGTGGTTTATGATTTATGACATGAACCTTGAACACAATTTGAAGATATTTTTGGTTTCTTAAGTCCCGTGTCTCCCTGTCGAAAATCATTGGATATGGGGTGACAGGTAATTTAATTTTTCTCCTTATGCAAAGCCAATTTCCATAGCAATAAATTCAAAAGAAATAAATTAAACTAAAATGAAATTTAAGAGCAAATATTTGCTCTTTAACAGGAGTGGCAGTTTTGTGGATTTCACAGAGTGGAATTATCAAAGAAAAAAGCACTCCAAGTCAGCACTTTCCCAACAATGACAACATTTTGATTGCAATTCAAACTGTAGAAATACGGTCCATCAACGAACCTATAAAAGTCATAAAAAGTAATAGCCATCTTTAATTTCATTGAAATATCTGGGAAAAACCATAACGTGAGTGAGAATCATTTCTTATCTAGGTGAGCCTGACCTATTAGAGATACATTTGAAGTGGACACTGGTCAGTTGTTCCGATGGTCCTGATGAGGTATAAATCAGGCTGAGATAATGACCAGCCAGGAAGTGACCATTCTCTACGGTCCATCCCGACTGACAGGGTGTTGACTTTACGATCACCTTGATACTTTTGTTCTTGCTGGTGGTCTTTGGTAAGGATGGTAGAAAAAAATGGCTAATGAGAATCAACAGGAAATGACCGTGAGGGGTTTGATGACATAACGCTGATTTAGTGCCACTATCAAAGAATCTTCAATTTAGAGGCACACATGAAAAGTCTAATAGAAGCAAATCATTGCTTTCTTAGCCCATTTCATAGGATTAGCTACATTTAGATGCAAGACTTTGCAGTGATTTAATCAGTTAATGCAAAAGATTATGCAAAAACAAAAAAATGGTTTTCTTTTTGTTTTGTAATTTTGACCTAGCTAGTGCAGTCTTACCCATGTGGAAGAAATTACAATCTAAATTCAGACTTTTTGTCAAACGGACATGTGTTTTCATGCAAAAAGAAGTCATTTATATTGGGTTTATATAGTTGTCAACAGGTGCCTATTAAACTTTGGTGTCTGTGTGACATTGATTAACTGTCTTCTACTCGGACTATGAAATATTTGAACATTTATGTACACTACAGAATTAGATTGCACAATTCTTAGTTTTGAAATAATTATGCATTTATATACAAACAACAAATGATTTATTTCTAAAAAAAGGTATGACTGTATATTGTTATAAACAAAATAGTATGATGGAGAAGGAATGCCAGCGTTGACATACTATCCAATATTATCATGATTATGATCCATGTTAACATGCTAGCACATGATGGGATAATGTGGGGCATGTGACTGACCTCAGCAATGCCCAGTACCAGATGTTATTTTGTTACTTTTGTACTTTGTTATGTATAGGTCAGGGTGGTCAGGTGAAGTCACCTTGAGATGGTCAGTAAACAGGTACTGACTTTAGCCTTCCCATGGTCAGTAAACAAGTCATAAAAATCAGGTACAATCTGACAACTGGGGTCCTTGATGCTGCACAGATCTGATCAGTGTATTGTCATGTTTCAAGAATGCACGTTATAACGTTCTAACAGATTTTATGATGTCATGAGTATTTTACTTATCAGAAAAAGGACTAGGTCAATGCAAAAAACCTATAAAAAATCAGTTTGTTGACTTTTTTGGGGAAAAAAAGTCTCTTTATCTGAAAAGCATGGAACCGGATGCTCAATAAGTAAAATCTTGATCTTGACATGGAGTGTAATTTTCTAACCTGTATTGATTTTACAAATATTACAACTATTTAAGAAAAATCATCAGTTTTCATCTTAAATTTTGTGAAATCCATTTGATTTAATGTCAATATTAGAAAAAAATAGGAAAATAAGCTCCACACCTCCTGGTACATTAGCCATTATATAGGATTGTATCGACTTGATATAGGATTGTATCGACTTGATGATGCATATATAATTTTATAAATTTCAATGTGAAATGCCAATCGTAACATTGATCAACACTTCAACTTGTGAAAAATATTTGGAAATATTTTACCGTTATGATTACAGCGTATACAGGTATATGCCCCTAGGTTATAATTTTTGTATTTAATACAAAGTATGCCTGCTTTAACATGAAAGACGATTAACACGATTTTGGGCAACTGTCGACTCTTGAGATGGAAATTCCAAACTTCTGTAACAACACTCCCTGAAATATTTTTCTGTGATGTATTCCACAATTAACTAAGCTTTCCTATGTTATTTATTGTTCTCTTCTTTAAGTATTTTTCAGTTCAGTGTAGAATAAAAATTAACTTCTTATCTGCCCACTCAATTTAAGCTCAGGAATGACATTAAAGATGTGCATTTCATATTTTGCATTGTTTAGAAATTAGGAAATGTGTTTCTCAAGTTTCGAATAATCCTTTCTAAATTGGAAGGCAAAGAGTATAATTTATGTGTCTCAATTTTTATAACATTGTAAAAGAAGCTATGCAAGTATTTCTGCTCAATTTATCACCCCCTTGCAAACAATGAAATTTTGAGAATTTCTGAACTTTTTTAATTCCTCTTAACTATAAAAAAATATTAATATAAATTACATACAAAATGTCCTTTTTGTTGCACACTTAGCAAGAGTGAACTTTATGCTTTTTTGTTGCTCCATAAAAAATGAATACTTATTGTATTTGTTTTTTAGTGTACAAGTCCCCTGAATATGAAACCCTAGGATTTGATCTCATTAGAGATGCCATCGTCACCATTGGATATCCAGATGCCATTAAAGAGTTCACGTATGACCCTACCTTTCCCATCAGGTGAGGAAATTTTACATTTCAAGCTTTCTTATGGTGATGCATCCCTGTAAAACTTAGACAAGCTCAACTTTGATCTCAACCTACTTTTCCACTACCAGAAAGTAAGCATGTACATGTATTCCTTTTGTTAAAGTGAGACTGATAAAAAGTGAGCTCTTCTAATGCATGTACTTGATATCGCAATTACTCACCTTAGCGGAATTCTTTCGCGATGGAGGTAGGAAACGTCTGTTGGATGGGGACATATGTACTATTGAATACAATACAAGATCGGTCATTGTAGAGTTTACAAGGATAGATAAGTAAAAAATGTTGGTGGAATACCTTGCTTAAAAATTGCTGAACCAGCCTAATTAATTTTTGAGACTAGCTAATCCTAAAATGTTACATATTTAACAAAATTTTTAATGAAGCGGACTTTTCTCATTAAATTTTCAATGAAAATCATCACATTTTAAAGCTGATAAAATATTCAAAACTTTCCTTAGTTCACAATCTACTGTTTGGAGTCCAATTCTTGGCAATACATTGTACTATCGGCATTAAATTGATCGAATCATTTGATTGTTACTACGGTAAACAATGCCATGTGTCCCCAAAATCTAGAGCTTTCTCTACTCTCACGCAAAAGAGTGGTAGTAAGTTAGATAACTGCGAGGTACTCACGATATTACATATTTTTACGACCTCAGTGCCAGAATTTAGAAAGTATAATAGCATATTGGATAATACATATATACATGCATGACAAAATGGTTAGATTTCCAGAATCTTTAATTGATATTTTTTGCTATCTTGTAAGAGGAATCCCATAGTAGCTAAGTCACATCTGCAAAAAACATGAAATGAAGCTTTTTGAACTCGTAGTAACATTTGTACAATATCTTCGCCAAATATATTAACCGTGATCTTAAAACAGAGTCATTGGCTGCATTTACAGTATTAAGTAATGTAGGTTATTTGTAAACTCTTCCTTTTGTTTAAAGTTTGGCAGTCTACAAAATGTAACAAGTAGGTATAAAAATAGCGGAATGAAGACATCGATGATTCAGTTGTTAAATATGAATGTCGTTCACATAGATATTGTTTTAGAATGTCGGTTTTGTAGAGAAAACAAAACGGCTCATCCATTTACAATAAACATTAAAAGCTAAAAAAAAGAAATCATTACAGCTTTTTAGTCATATGATGGATATATATAAGTCATACAACTTGATAAAGGTTCATTTCCATTAAAATTTTCAACCACTGAAATTTCGTCTAATTATAAACGCTACTGTAGATGCCTTATTTTTATAGGTACTTATTGTCACAAAATTTCTTAATGTCAAATCAAGGATTTCAGCACCATACAGATAAAATAAAGCAATTTTTTTTTTGGGGGGGGGGAGGGTGGGAGTGCTTCTTGTAAAATTATGTTAAAATTATGCATTCTTCTGAAATTTCAATTCCTAGCGTACATATTTAGTCCCGAATTTATGTGGTTATTAATTCCTTGGATATATCTAGGAAACTATGGTATTTCCTGCCATAGAAAATGGGGAAAAAATGTTCCTGAGAAGAGTTTGATTCTGAGAGATCTGTAATGTCTTTAATTCAATCATTGTCCGAGGGGAACATTAAAGACATTTTACACTCCATAACAGTGTCTGTGTTTTGTAATTCGGCATAATTTGATAATTTGTACACAACAGACTGCAAAAAAAAGAAGTGGGAAACTGGCGTATACCAAATCCTTTGATTCCAATTTTCGTTTGATTTATGCATTTACAACCTTTGAGATGCCATGTTAATTCTTTGCAGATCTTTGCCTAGTTAATGGTAGTTATAGAAATTAAAAACAATTAATTCATGATAGGGAAGAAGTTTTTTTTTCGGGGATTGGCATATGGTAAATCTTCTAGACAGATTCAAGCTCTGGAACTCCAAATAATTCATTCATTATGAAATATTTGCTGTGTGTTTTATTCACCACAGATGCTAGATACTTCTGTATATTTTTTTAAGGTTCTGGAAATAAAAATAAACTGAAGGACTACCACTTAATGCATAAAGATAGGAATCACATATTAATTTCATGCTATGATTTCATAACTCACATTCAGTGGGGGAAAGCATAATATAGGAAGAAAATTGAATTGCCATATGTATGTTTGTCTTTGTAGATACTCCCAAATTACATTACTCTTAATTAAAGCTCAGTTGATTTTAAAAAAAAATAATTTAAGATTATTTAAATCATGTGAACTGATCAGAAAATAAGATATACTTCATTTAGATCAATATTGATAATAACCGTTAGTGCATAATGACTCTTAAAATCTTGGTGGAATACGCCCGCATCCTTGAAATGCTGCTTTTTTGCTTATTTTCAATTAAGTTTGACATAAGAATTTTCTCCGAAACCTGTATTTAATTTAAACCAGTGGCGTCACGTCTTGAAAAATACATAATATTTCACTATATTTTCTTTTTTGTTTCGGCACTTCCGGCGAGAGTACTCTCATCAATAGGCGATGTGTTATCGGGTGTTGAGGGTTTTTGCTAACACTTGATGTGCATTGCGGGGATACCGTTTATCTTCAGCATCCCACCGAGGGCTTCCCCCGAATCACCTTCGCTTACAGAAGATTTACTTCCTGTTTTATGTTGTGATAAGGATTTGACACAGAAGTTGATCAACTGTGTTTTTTTTTTTTGTTTTTTTTTTTAAATGAAAAAGAAATATTTCATTCAGAAATATGCTTATTCAACATTATGTAACTTTCTTTAAAAAATTTTAAGGTACCGAAGAGAGAAAAGTGTATTTCATGTTAATGCTGCTCTTACAATGATTCCATTCTGATATCAAATACCTTTAAAAAAATTAATTCAAGAGTGAAAATAAAAACAATATAATGAAAGAAATTTGACAGAATTTAATTTTTCATCAATCATTTTGGAAACTTGAAGATTTCATATTTGAAAAAAATTAAAAATGTTTGTTTTTGCTATATGAAAACCTTTGTTCTTTATCAATTATTTCAGGGGACTGTGGTTTGACATGGAGTATGGAAATATCATAAAAGCTGATCCTTATGGAAACATCCTAGTTTGTGTTCATGGCTTCAAGTTCCTAAAAATGTAAGTAACAAAGGTACAGTATCTATTAAATGTCATTAAGTTTAGTCTTAAATAATAATTTAGAAAAACATCAGTTTTGGTACGGAAATGAGAATGTCAGAAGAGGTTTCTTTTAAAAAGTTGTATTGAGGTGCTGATCTTTTGAGGTGCCATTAGGTGCAGGTGCTGATCTTTAGGTGCTCGGAGATTCCATGCTAGCTCTCTCCTGAGGTTCCATGAGGTGCAGGTGCTGATCTCTTCAGGTGCCATGAGTTGCAGGTGCTGATCTTTAGGTGCTCGGAGATTCCATGCTAGCTATCTCCTGAGGTTCCATGAGGTGCAGGTGCTGATCTCTTCAGGTGCCATGAGTTGCAGGTGCTGATTCCTTGCTAGGTGTCTCTTGAGGTTCCATTAGGTGCAGGTGCTGATCTCTTGAGGTTCCATTAGGTGCAGGTGCTGATCTCTTGAGGTGCCATGAGGTGCAGGTGCTGTGATCTCTTGAGGTGCCATGTGGTGCAGGTGCTGATCTCTAGAGGTGCTCAGAGATTTCTTGCTAGGTGTCTCTTATTTTCTGGACATGATTTTGTAAATCAAAATTGTTTTAAGAATTCTCATTTTCTGATGATGAACCAAGATGATTCTGTCATCTTCTTTATAGACAGATTAAGGGAACTCTAAAGCGCATTTTTTGTTTTTAGAATGCTGTTTGAATTCCTTCATTTTTGTAGAATTTAGAACAGTTGCTTGACTCTTTAAAAAGTTGCAAAAAAAGATAAATTTTGGTAGGTCAGTAAAAAACTTAAGTGGTGCCTTATAAAAAAGATTTTGTTTCTCTTTTTCGTAACTGGGGGCCTGACTTTTATAAATGAGGTAATATATATTTCTGTCTACGGTGTCCTAGAAATATCATCTCTTGATAGAGAACAACAGGATGTTGTTGTGTATATAAAAAGTTGGGAAATCCAAATTACTGCATGGTTAAGGCTTCTGCTAAGTTGTAAATCTTTATCATTGAAGTAAAGTAATTAACAAGTATGAAAAAAAATTCTGACTAGAGATGATGCCCAAATCAATCATTGATATTCTTAGACATTAAGTCAGGATTGGTTGCTAAAAATAACAATTTCAAAATTTATGCCTTACTTTACAAAACTTGTATCCTAATCCTTTTGAAAGAGTCAGACAAATTAAAATAGAGCAGACTGCTTGACAACTCAAACTAAAAGAAAGTTTTATCAAAATACAAAATTCTCTGGAAAAAAATATGTGGCAACCCACTCACAAATGTAGAGATGTCTTCTTCACAAATGCAGAGAGAGAGAGAGAGAGAGAGAGAGAGAGAGAGGGTGAGAGAGAGTTGAGGAAAAGAGTACATAACTTGACTTGAAAATCTTTTGCAAATTATGTTTATGCGAGAGGATACGATAATGACGCATGGCACAGATGCATAGGATTTTATAGTTTCAAAAAAATGGTAAATAAAGGATATGTAGTTTTTGCATTTATGCCCACTGCAGATGTTTTTATAAATGCATCACTGCAACTTCAAACTTTGTTCTTTTATTAAAAAATGAAAAGAAAAAAAGATGGAATCAGGCCTTGCCAACTGGTTCATCAAAAGTATGTTCCTCTGAATATTTGTAAATGTAAAATAAAAAGATTGACATAGACACTGAATTGAAAAAGAGGGTCTGGCAGAAAGAAATTTGTTTCTTTTTACAAGTTTGAAATTAAAAAAAATCTTTGAAAATAGTAAGAATTAGATAGTGTTGTTTGTTTGCCAGTACTAGTAGCTTAATTGGTCAAATTATGTAGAGGTTTAGTTCCTGAAAGACTTTGTAAAAATGAATTGTGAAAAATAGGCTTGTAACAGTAGAATAGACAGTTACATTGAACACACTTAGAATGAATTCACAATTACAGCCAAAGTAATTTTCATTCCCCTTAGGTTTTAAATGATTAAATCATATGAAATAGTGATAATAAGCTACTTTATTAATGATTCAAAATTCGACATTGTCACTTAATTCACTCATAGGAAGTTTTACAATGAAGTCTTATTCAGGCATCACCTGTGCGTTTGAAGTCTAGGGACCTGTGTAAGGGTAGAGAACTGTTTTTGTGGGAGATGATTACACCCCGTGATCACAGGGACCAGGATGTGTTATTGTGTGATAGCTCCTTTAAGAAGTATGGAGAGCAGCTGACATTATGATTGCTGCACTCTAAAGGCCATTTTCTCTTTAATGCTGTCCATGTGGTTCTACTTCAAAGTTCTTTTAGAAGTTTTTTTTTTTAAAAGACAACCACAACTTATAATATTTTCATCTGCTGCTATCATTGTTCTCTTCCTTTAGTTATGTTACATCTCTTCCAGCTTTTTCTTTTCCTTAAAGAAACCTTTGATTTGTATCAACAGAATTCCCTCGGAACATCAAACAAGAGCTGAACATCTTTTTGCTGTTCTTTTAAATCTATTAACAATTGCTTTTAAGCCACAGCCGATTTCATCACTTTTTTCAGCAAGTTGGAAGTTAGGGTGTCGGGAGGATATTACGGGCTCCAGTGAGATTAATCGTGATGTCGATCAGCGACTCGTTTCCGTGTTTCGTGCAGACTAGACAGGGTGCCAGTCTTTTGTAACATTTGTTCGGGGTTCTCAAGTACTGCGCCCCTCTTTCATTTGGACCAAGGGTGCTAACTCTGTATTTGCCATGCCTAGCAGGTGGTTGCAGATGGTGTGTCCTGATAATATTAAAAGAGTTTTAGTTTTCAAAATGAGCCCTGAATACAAGACTGTATGTCTTCCTCAGAATGTTGCGTAAATGTGTTTCACAGACTTTTGGGTTATTTTTTCTCTGGGTGTGCAAAAGTTGAAAAATTCATTTAACCAGTATAACAGAACTTAACCCCCTTAAAAAACAAATCTGTTGAATTTAGGGAAAAAATCATAAACTTTGTGGGTACATTTATACGTAAAATGAGTTTGAATTTAGTATTTCATTTGACAGTTGAGATAGGTGAAATGTACCATATTATTTATTTTATACCCCAAAAGCTTTTTTTGCCTTAAAAGTGCCCTAGCAACTTGTATCATGATCGGAACATTAAAAAGACACATTTAATTTTCTTCAATAATCTACATTTAAGCATAAATCATGCCAATTGATAAAGTTAATGCTGTAAAGAGCCTAATAAACCCTCTTTTAATATAATTTTAAAGGCCCTAATGTGCAGTAAAAAGAGATAAGTAAAAAGTTTTTATACAGAAAAATGAGATTGTTAATAGAAGTGTGGTATATAGAAGCAATTAAGTTGTTTTACTTTTATGATGATAGAAATGTTTTTAAGCCCTGCAATGAGTGATAAAAACTTTTTTCGCAGGCTTTCTTGATGCCCTGATTTTTCTCCAAATTAGGTCAAATCTTGTCAGTTTTCCTGAATGGAGATGGCAGGTGTATACATCTAGCTGCTTTATCTTTCATGGGTGTATTTGACACCCAGCTCAATTACAGGATACAGCGAATAAAAAAAAATATTTAGGTATGAAAGCCTGACTTCCTGTTTATGCACATTTAAATGAGATGTAAATTAAAAAATACGATGCATGACAGTTAAAGTCCGCAAGTTTGAGATCGTCCCATTCAGAAAAAAAAATTGATGCACTGCGAGGTCACGTCCCAAAATTTGTACCAAGTATTTGCAAAGCCGCTGTTGTGTATTAAGTTGGATATTTGGCATGTAAAGTATGAAGAAATAATACTTGATGGTGTAATATTTGAGACATGACAATCTTAATTGCTGTTTTTTGGCATAGCTATGAATTTATTTGATGTCATATGGTATATACTTCTCCAGCTGTTAGCCTGCCATTGTGTTTCTTACACCTGTATTTAAATAAGTGGATAGATATGAGTATATAGTATCAGGTGTAATTTTTTTTCTGGATCTTCTTCAGCTATTTCTGATGCCTATGATAATCTTTTAGCTACCTCCTGCAGACAATAAACAGCATTATCATATATACAATTTCAAATGAAATGATTTATAGATTTGACAGTTTACAAATGATGTTACTAATACTGTATCATCTTGGCAAAAATAGGTGAAATAATATTTAGATACATTAGCTCTGTGTTTCTGAACTTATCTATAAATGTTGATTGTTTGGATCTCCACAGATATAACATTAGCTCTAAGGGTGTACAATGCCAGATCTGAGAGTAAGTGCATCAAGCTCAATATGATATTAGAAACGAATGACCACCAATCCCATTTCATGATATTGTTGCACAACAAATTTGTACTGGAAGCCCTATTGCTTTCATACATCAGATAGTTGGTATACCTCGATGACAAGATGTATGTGCAAGCAGGAAACTTGTGTACCTTGGCCACTTAATGGAATGCATCTATTGGGATATATTATTGTAATAGCAAACAAATGTATTTTCTGCAGTTATCCATAGGTACCTCTGACCAAAGAACGAACCTGCCATAATTGAATTAATGAGGTCTGGTATTGAACATTTCAACGACTGCCAAAGTACGTTCAGTCCAAATGATATTTATTATGGCGGGGATTCGACTGGAAACCTTTTGGTCGTTAGATCAAACTTTGTTGTATTACTTTCATCTGCATCATATGGAAGATTTAAAGTAAATTCATGGCTGATTTGAATGTTTCACAGATGGAAGACTGACGTCGTCTTCTCATGTTTATAAAACTAGAGATTTTGTTTTGTAGAGATAGAGTTATCTCCCCTTGTCTTCTGTCACATGATCATTGCATTCCATTAAATATATTTGTAAGTTTTGTTGAGACATTTATTCGCTTTGAATCCGATCATCAGTCTTAAAGTATGAAATGGATTTGGCTCCAAAGACCTTTTATTTTCTGTTTGAAGAAATTTCAAAAATACCATTTTTCTCTTCCTTTTTTGTGCCCTTTTCATTATGGTTATTGTTAATTAAACAACTTTAGAATGCCATGAAGCACAATCTTTTTTTTTGAGAGAGAG